ATCATCAACGACGAGAAGCTGACTGCGCGCGTCCCTACGCTAAAGTTCAGTCTGACTACCAACCTTCACGTGGACGTGACGGCTCACGACAGCCGACGCCGTGACTGTCACCACGGTCTTGGAATGGTTAACGTCATCACAACTATGCGAGAGACGCAGTGCATTTGCACGCCAATGCGGCGATGGGGACCGCTGGTCCGCTTTTTGAAGGCCGCGCTGCACGTGTGTGTCCTGCCGGCCCTCGCCGCCTCGATCGACCTGCGCTCGTTTCACATAGAGGTCTTGGTGCTATGCTTTCTGCTTGATAGCAGGGTATGGCCGCGGAAGGCCTATTCCGGAGAGAACGCAAGGGCACAACTGCTGCTCGACCTGGTCGAGTTCTACGCGACCAGGTTCCGGCCCAGAGAGCATTACATTCACCATGAGCGGGGGACAACCAAGATGTACTTCGTTCAACGGCAGGAGGGTCGCATGGGTGATCTGGTTATGAGCAGCTTGCTGCCCGCGAGCGATGCGGAAGGTGACGCATTCTACGATAGTCCCCGGGATGGCGGCTGGGAACAGGTGATCAAACCGTTCTTTCAGACGATCTCTGACGGGATTCGGAATCAAAGCTGGTCCCCGGAACTTGAAGAGCTACTTGGTGTCGGCAGGCCCACGCGCTCAGAGCGGTTCCGGAACCGGCTTGGAGGAAAAGGATAGAGTCTCATCTCATCCGTTTCAGCGATAGCAATTTAAGCCCCCAAACCTCCTCATTTCTTAAAAGGTCTTAAAAAACTTCTTAAAATACAATCCTCACTGCACACCCAACGCGGCCAAAGGATATCCAACCTCGAGACCAGAAAAGAATTTTACAACAAAGCTCCCTCGCACAACACTGGGCACGGGACTGGCGCGCACTGGCACTAACACAGGTGTGCCAGAAAAGAATTCTTAAGTGGCAGTCCGGGTTCTGTGAAGAGGGTCGCTCGTCGAATGCGAGCCAGTTCGCTCGCGACGCCGACGCCGACGCCGCCGCCGGAACGACCGCGGCGGCCGGTCGAGCGGCCGCCCCGGCCAGCGGCCGTATCGAGCCTGCCCGTCGCGAAGGTGCGGACCTCACGCGCCCCACCGGCCGCCCGCGCCGCCGCGCCCACGTCGCTCTCTCGAAGCCCAGCGCCACGCCGCTACGACTCCCATCGCGACGACTCCCGTGCTCGCTCGTGGCGCAGGCGATCGACTCCTGACACCCATCGAGCGGATGGGCGCGTTCCCGCCGCGACCCGGTACTCTCGAACGACTTTTGAGGGCAAAAGGTGCCGCCCGAGCCCATTCCCGCCGCCCGCCGCCCGAGATCAGCTGCCACCGGCCAGCGCGCGCGCGGAGACCTGCCGCGAGCGCCTCCGTGGCCCTAGCTGGGGTGATTAGCAAGCGCCTCGGCACTTTAGATTCGCCCCTCGGGCTTTTCCGCGCGCGTGATCAGTCTCGCGTTCTCTCCTTTTTCAGGCGCCTGTTTTCGGCCTCTGAAGAGCAACCGTCGAGGCGTCGATGCTCGCCTCCACGCCCGCGCCAGACCTCCGCGATTGGGGCGCCTTGTCGACGGGATCAATTGTGATTCCGGGCGTATTTTTCTGACACTTTACTCGCACGTCGGCGACTCTTAGTCGCTTCTCCGTGCTAGGAGGCCTCTGTTTTGTGTCCGTGAGGACTAGATCGAAACTAACATTTCGGCACATGCGAGTAAAGTATCAGAAAAATGCGCGTTCGTTCACAATTCATGTGTATATGAACGGTGCCGACGGGTTTGGCGAGCATCGAAGCCGTCCAGGCGCAGCAACGCGACGGTTTCGGAGGCCGACGGCTCCGAAAGAGCCTCCCGAGCGAGGCCGGCGCGGTCACGGTACCGTGGAGGCCACAGACGTCGCCGGAGCGGCACTCCCGGGGCGCCACTCCCTCACCCGGTCAGGGGGGGCCAACCACAGCCCGCCTCACCGTCCGTGGAGCTTCCGTGGTCCGCCGCTTCGGCTTCGATTTTCGACCCTCCCGAGGCTGCTAGAGCAGCCCCGCGGAGCCTCCCGGATGCACCAGCACACCGTCGTCCAGAACGCCGGCGCACGCGCTGCCCAGTGACTGGGCGGGTCGGCCCCGACTAGGGGCGGGCCCAGCCGCGCGGAGAAGATCATCCCACTCGCGGTTCGTCGCACCGTCCGCTCCAGTTTTCGTCTCGAGCGGGTCGTGAGACGGCCGCGAGAGCGAGCACCGCGGTCACGGTACCTTGGAGGCCACAGACGTCGCCGGAGCGGCACTCCCGGGGCGCCACTCCCTCACCCGGTCAGGGGGGGCCAACCACAGCCCGCCTCACCGTCCGTGGAGCTTCCGTGGTCCGCCGCTCCGGCTTCGATTTTCGACCCTCCCGAGGCTGCTATAGCAGCCCCGCGGAGCCTCCCGGATGCATCGGCACACCGTCGTCCAGGATGACGGCGCACGCGCTGCCCAGTGACTGGGCGGGTCTGTCCCGACTAGGGGCGGGCCCAGCCGCGCGGAGAAGGCCAGCGAGCTCGAA